TGTTTTTCTTGTGAAACTAATTTTATGATGCATAATGAAGTAAGTTTGAAAGCTGGGCTGTTTTATTCTGCTGTTATTCCAGACATGATAAACTCATGTTTTCCCCACTACAGTTAACAACAAATCAGGAAGTAATTCTACAACTCCTGCTTTTGTTTAAATGAAACCAAATCTGCACGCAATTCTCTTTTTACAGAACAGGCAATCAGTTTGCATTGCATCCTGTTGAACAGTTGCCTTTCTGTATTTGCATTCCAGCATGTGGGTGAGGTTTTAGGGAGCATGCACACACATGCATACAGCCACTGAACGTATTGCTGTAGGCACAGGGACAGGTTTTTGTGCCCACCTTCATTATGGAATACTATATGAACCTAATCTATAAATATACAACAGTATAACAAAAATTTTAGTAACATCTTTTTTTTCTAAGGAGTTCTGAAAGCATTTCTAAATAGTAACTTCTTACTACCATAAAGAAGTTAAAACCATTACATCTATTTCTCATATTAAATAATCTCAGTGCCTGGAGATTAAGCAATTTGCCAAAATCTGAGCTAGCTAACAGCACAATTGGGAATAGTGCAATTCTGTATTGCAACTAGATGTATTCTCTATTTTCATCAGATAATCTTAAAAAAATGGATTATAATAATTAATGGCATCTGCCTGGGTATATCTTATGTTTTAAGGACATGAAAAATTGGTTTTTAAAATGAATGGGCTCAAAGCTTGCATCAAAGATTCACCAAGTAAGTCACCTAGTAAGTCACTGATAAAGACATCCTATGTAATATGCTGATGGATTTCTGTTCAGTTTATGGCATGACTACTGATTTTATTTTATTATTTTAAGTGCAGTAGGATATGTAAAGGATTTAACTTGACAAGATTACACAGGTAGTATAATATTAAAAACAAAGACTAAATTATATTTCAGTAATTTATATGTGCAATATCTATGCTGGCCATCTACACAAAGACAGATTTCACCCTCAGAAGGAAACAGATCAATTTATCCTAAATTGTGAACAATGTAATTGCCAGTGTATGTTGCCTGACAGATGAACTTGTTTAACACTAAGACTACAAAAAAGCACCCCATATACTATCAGGTAAGTCATTTTGGCTCTTTATAGTGAGTTATAATAGTAAACTCAGAATCAGATCCAAGAAATTTTCTTCTTTCTTCAATACACTCCAAAATATATTTTGCTCCTGTAAGCATACATTACAACTTTCATTGTACATTACTTTCTTAGAGGTGCATTGCCCTGTTGAGGCATATTTAAGATTAACACAATATACTATGATGATTGCTACCATTCTGGTTTCACTCCGCTACTATTTTATTTTTGCTTTTGGATCATCACAGTGAATATTCTACCACATTACATGTCATGATTACTAAGTTATTTTGCTGTTGAACTGTATTTCTGAGAATGCATTAAATAAGAATTAGCGAGGTGGAATAAATTCATACTCGAGTAACATAAGAAAGTTTCAAATGATGTATTTAGTGATTTGAGATACAGAATCACGTATACCCTGAAGTACCCTGCTGCAATGTTAGTTATTCTTTAAAAGATCTTTGTTTAATGCTTTCAAATAATGTTAACCAAAATAGTTACAATGAAGGACAAATAAGAGTGAATTAAAATGCTAGTCTTACCTTGAGTTCAGAAGAAACTACAAAGTTTACTAAATTGTAATTATCATAAATTTACAGTATGGGCTTTCATATATAACTAAAAAAGTAAACTGCAAAAATCCTCAATAGTGAAGTCTGCAAAATCTAAACAATACAAAATATTTAACAAGAAAAGTGTTTTGGGGAAAAAAATACATTAAAAGATCAAATGATTTGTAATGTATTAGCTCACCTCTTAATATACCACAAAATAACACTATAAGTAACATAATATTTTTCTATGGGAAAAGTTCACTTAGATTCAAGAGATTTGGGAAATTCTTCAACAGAGATGCAGGAAAACGTATATAGCATTAATAAGCTATGAGCAGTAAAATTATCTTAGGCCCTCAAAGCTATATTGCTGTATTTACACTGTATCACGGAAGGAACATAGTAGGACAGAAGTAGTATGCTGCCCAAATCTCTCAGAGCACTAGGTATGTCAGTTAGAGGTAGTTCTGGGTAATTCTACAGACCTCATGCCTTCCGGAGGCACTGCATTCATTTTGCTAGAATCCAGTGCTCTACATTTTAATGCCTTTGAAGCAACTTTGAAGGAGTTAAAAAGCCAACTCACTGAGATGTTATGAAAGGTGCTATGACTGGACAAATTAATAAATGGGGAGGAAAGAAGGAAGAGACGCTCCCTCCTTGGAACACAAACAGAAGTCATGCTGCTGTGTGCACTGTGCTTACTCAGATACTAGGGATCTGCTGCTGGAACAGACCCCAGCAGAACTCCAAGAGGAAACCTATTTTAACGTCTTCTAAAACATAGATGGCACTGGGATCCTCAGTACAGACCAAACTAAGATAACTCCAGCCATCTATGCACATACATTGAATTCTAGAGACCTGGAGAACTCTGTTTGCTGAAAATAATGCTCACCCCTCCTTCAGATGGTCGCAGTTTCAAGTACACCTTGCTTCAGTAAGTTCAGTAAGTTCTACTGTAGACATATATGGGAATTATCGCAGTGGCATATAAGTATGTCACCTGACACACTGATCAGAAGAAACAGGAACAAACACGAATAGAGATGCAGGTTACTCAGTTACTGCTGAATTTGGTTTAATGTCTCATATTTGCCTCAAGAGGGGGAGTTGAAACACTGGTTGCAGAAATTCCTCAAGGTCTTCAGCTGACTATTACTGATCTGTGTTGAGAATTAGCATAAATAATTTCAAGTCAGTTTCCCTGACATTCTCTCTTTTCTACAGACTGCCAATGCCTTCCTACAGAATTACTTAATTAGTGAGCATCTGCCAGTAGTCAACGCAGGCTGAGCAGGCATGTCAGGGACAGACTGAAGCTAGCAGTCCTTGATGAGATTCATACAGCTAACTACTCATGTTCAGAGCCAGGTTTCCTGAAGAATGTCAAAGCTCAATTTTTTATCTCTACCACTATCCTAGCAGTAGCAAAGGGACAGAATAGCTCAAGGATAGCACAAGTACCTTTTCTGGCATGTATGTGCCAGTATTCATAGCAAGTAAATACCATAAAGATGGTTGTTACACAGCAAAGGGTCTCATAAGTCCATGGTGATGTAGACCAAAAGAGCTATCTTAATCTTTGTGTAAATTGCACTGTTTAAGAAATGCACAGAACATCTACTAGAACCAGTTTTCCTAATTTTTAATTGAAGTATTATGTCCATATATTAGGGAAAGCATTCTTCTGGCATCAAACTTGTTAGTTTATTCTTCCCTCCTTCCAAAATTTCTATACTAGTGTCACTACTTACTATCCACTAAGCATGGCACAACTTGAACAGTTTTGTTCATATCTTGAGAGAAAAAAAGACTAAAAAACGTTTGGTTGTGTACTGTGGCGTAAAAACAAATCTAATAAGGCAGAGAATTCTCACATGCTAATTACAGTGTTTACCTATACTGGCTTATATTGCTTTTTACTGTACATTAACATCAATTAATTCACCCTCCTCAAGTACTGTGTACTAATCAGAAACAAACACTGCATGAAATTATCCACATATTTTCATTAAAAATAAAGTAAAACTTTAAAGAGGGAACAAGCAAGGCTAGAGCTTGAAACATTGCACAATGAGCCAACAGAAATGCCCTTAGCTCAACCTGACTTGAGTATTAGACTAGATTTGGAAGGCCTGCACAATGTTTTCTGCATAGCAGTACAACTGCACAACTAAAAGATCTGAAGATTCGAAGATTCAGCTTTTAAAAAGTTAGCTCATTTAAGATATAATCATTTTTAATCTTTTTTTTTTTAGAATAAAAAACATTTAAAAACGCAGCTGTATAGAGCAAAACGAACGTCAGTCACACTCCATGTAGCTCCAGTGCCACAGGTTTCTGTCAGGAGATGTGCAATTTCCATTGCTGTTACACACTGAAGCCTCAGGCCACTCAGCTGCCTATAATAGCATTATAGCTATTTCTGTTCTCGTGGAATGGGGCCAAAGCTTTTCCCAGGAATAAAGGATATAAAATGAAGAGTGATGTTTTTAATCTTCATTATTTCTTCCTGGAGAAGGCCAAACTGATGGAAGGTAAATCCATCAAGAGATGACAAACACCAAGTGCCACTTCTGGCTCAAGAAGTTCCTGAACTACAGACTGCAGCACAGTTGAACATTTGTGGAAGTTACATGAGCTTTACTTCATCTATAGTTCTCTCTCAATGTCCATTTTTGGCCATTCTTAGAGACAGAATACCAAGCTAGGTAAGACCTTTGGTCTGACCTAGAAAGTTAAGGACTTAAGTTCTGAGGTTCATTTGAATGTCTGACATTAAAAGAGAAATGCCTAATTTTTAATAAAAGTGAAGGTGTATTATAGACGTCTGTGGTTTCTTTGAACCTAGTGTAATTATTACTTCAAGATTTTGCCATCAGTCTCATTTTTTTCATTGTAGTGCACCACACCTCTCATTCATTAGGCATCCAGTGAGCTGGCAAAGACAGTTTGGCAGTGCTAGAAGGTAAATTATAGCTTTGCTGAATGTCTTGCTTGAATGTTGACTTCAGAAGCACTATGGAAAGTGGTCATGCAGAATGGCTTCACTAATATCCCTAAAGTCAGTGCATGTGAAAGTGATGGTGTAGGGACAGGAGATGTTTTAATTTCTTCTAGCAGCCCAGTAAATTCTTATTCACCAGGCTGGACCTTACAAGTCGTCCCATTATAGTCAGATCCAAGTTCTCTGGCTTCATTCCAGGCTAAGATTCACAGAGATAAATATATATATTCTAATTAAAAGCATGAGAGTCTATTTAGGCCAAAGTTGAGATGATGCAGGAGCAAGTGGGGGGGGGGGGGGAAGAGTCACCCTAAACTTTTGTACATTTTTGATTTTGCTACTTGTGAAAATACATTTGAGAAGCTGCAGACTCTGGTCAACACGGTATCAATTTGGGTTAAGTCTCACAACCATTTTTCAAGTGAACTAACTCTTGACTTTGCAGACAGAACCTTGCAGCGTAACGTGTTTTAAGAAATTCAAGATGCACTTCAGAAAATCCTTGGCGGAAGGTCAGAAAATTTTTGAAACATTTAAAGTGAATGAAAAAGTACAGGGAGATAAAGCTGGAGATAGATTCCTGCAAAGGAAATTGTTTTTAAAAGTAGATTGTGATTATCAGCATTAAAAAGAAACATTTTTCAATATAAGAGCAAAAGACTAAGATGAGAAAAAGAGAATCAAGGCGTAGAAGAGTCCAGCAAGGCTAGACCACATGTCTAGTTGTGTCTCAGTGTACTGGACATTTTGTGACAAGAAAAAATAAAGGTCCTGTGCAGGTCGTGCTGGTCTAAAGGCACATTGTGAGGATTTAAATCCCAAGTCACTCAATTTTGTCCAGATCTGTTTGACTATTAAGCTAGATGTACAGCTATGTGTCATAATTTCTAGCAAATAAACTTTTTTTAAACTTTCTCAAGCTATCTTTTTTCAAATCACACATCACTGATAAAAAATATGCAGAATGCATGAAGTTCAGTATGAATTTTGCAACTATTTCATTCTTAGTCAAGAGTCTGAGAACTTAAAGTAAATACTAGTACTCCTCAAGGGGCGTCTTTGATTAATTCTCTAAGACTGAATCAGGAAATTGGTCTGTTCTCTTCACACAGAAAGTAACAAAAGCAGAGTGATGCAGCTCCACCAGGCAGCTACCATTCTGATGTAAACCTGAAAGGTCATGAATCTGAATTAGATCTTTTGAACTGAAATAGCAGAAATTAAATTTCTAATCACCTAAACCCATTAATTCACCATTTTCACCATGGGTTGAAATTACAGAATGCAGTTATTTTTGTCCATGTTTTTCAGTAGCACATTTCAGTCCTTCATTATGAAAATTATATTTGTGGCTCAAAAAACAAACAGTAGTTTGTTTTAAATCATTTAAAAGATTTTAAATGATTTAAAAGATTTAAATGGCCGATAGTTAACCTGAATAACATATCTACTCAGCTTATATGATGCTTACGAATTTCAAATGAGACTAACCTATATGCTCTGTGGAGTACAAAACAAACAATAAAAGTGAATGTGACGTATTGTTTTTGAGATTCCTTGACTCTTACTTGTGCTATTTCTCCAGTAGAACTTTATATAATTTACAGAAGATGAAGCAGTATTTCTTAAATCCTTCTGTACAACAATTTACTCAGTGTTTTTCCAGCAAATCTGCCATTCAGAGTTCTCTCTAGGTTGCACCAGATATCAGAGAGCATCGCGCACTGCAAAATACCATAGGAGACAGCAATCTGATTAGAACTGTAGCATTTCATTTGCAAACAGCCTACTTTAGTTACAAGTTAACATAAATAATTTTAAGAAGGAGAAAATTAGCAGTTGGTAAAAGCAAGGTACAAATAAAAGGCATTCTGGAAATTACAGGAGAACTTTAGGAACTGATTGTATATTTTAGATTTTTGCATACAGCTTATCATTTTTACGCAAGAAGTCTCATCAAGACCAAATAGACATTCCAGAGATCATTGTTGGTTTTGCCTTGCCCCATGAAACAAAAAAACAAAAAACAACCTCCAAACAGTGATCGCATTCCTTTTTTAAGTGCCAGTTCAACATCTGTTAAGTCTGGCCCACAATGTAACATAGTAAGCATAATAAACAATATGGGACCTATTCAAATTTTAACTCTTTTTTTTTTAAAAAAAAAAAACGACTAGGACTAAAGGAAGGGGGCCATAATGCCTTTTCCCACTTGTAGAAATTTCATTCTTGTCTGCTTCAGGATCTACCTCAACAGCAGGCCCTGCATGAATAATTCTTGTGTTTAATCTGCAGTACATGAAACAAAAAAAAGAGGAATAATATGATGGTTAGAATCCCCTGCCAAATCTAAAACAACAAGTTCCAACACCTCCAAGCCTCCCTATCTCTACCCAGAGGCCTACAGAAGTAAGGTAACTACTGCAACTTAATCTCTGTAGCAACATCTGATCTCTCAATCCTGTATTTTTTGCGTTCCCATGCTTAGATACATGTATGCAACATTTTAAGTCTAACTACAGGAATGTGGGAGAGCCCACTGTAAGGAAGGGGGATGCAACAGAATGACATCTGTTAACCAGCAAGAAAAACTTCCCTGAATTCCCTGCACCTGGCAGTAACTGTAACTCTATTCACTATTCAAATTGTTAAGGCTCAAACTCTTACTGGAAGTGTGAATAAGGAGAAAGGCCCTGGTATATAAAATACGATGGAGAGCAGCAAGTCTTAGCACACCATCTGCAGTGACTGCACTCAAATATTTATTATGCACAATTCCACTAAGGAATAATCAATAAGCTTTGCCAGAGAGCTGATGAGAGTTCAGAGGAGAAAGCTGTGTGTCAAGCAGCCTGTGACAGTATAAAGAGACTATGGAAATATATGCATCCAAGGGGGAGAGCTGTCAGGCACTTAGAAGTTAGCATTCAGTCACTCTCAGTTTCATGCATACGTGCTGGATTATTACATGAAAGGAAACTGAGCCTTTAGGAGAATAATTATTCAGAGAGCTATAACCCCACTTGCAGTCCTAGTGATAGCATGGTCTGCAATACAGGTGCAGCTGCTGCCATGGATGACCTCCCTGACAAGCACCTTATTCTCACCCTGGTGTTCTGGATTCTCAGTGATAAACACCACAGTTACTTTGACTTAATGAATGGTGACTTCCTCAGAATACTATCTTCCGGCTTGTTATAAGAGTGAATGCCCAAGGGTGGATTGATTAGGATCAAAAAGCAGCAAAAAATTCTCTTCTCTGTTTCTTAAGGCTCCAATTTCAACTATTCCTGACTGCTAATTTTCTAACAGTGATCTCCACCCCAGACAGCTAAAGATCAACAGCAATCTTGCAAAAAGGATCTCAAGTGTTCTGTGATTCAGTTTGTCTCTGCAGACTAAAACTGCACTGCCACTGTTTGTTCAGCAGTTGCCATTGTGTGATACAATGGGCCTAGATTACCATTTATCAGACCTGTTCTTCCAGCTAGTCAACATTCCTTGCCTTCTCCACTTCCAGGATGGGGAGATCCTTCCCGAGTCTCCCAAAGACGCATGCTCTCCTTTCAAGGAAACAACATTATCTTTAATAATTAATTTAAAAATGAAACAAATGCTTTGAAGAATATTTTGATTAATCATCTTGATATCATGACCTCTTTTCTCCAAAGCTTCATGATTCTGATAAAATAAACATCTTCCTATGCTCTAGCTTGATTCATGAAGTCTTTTCCAAAATTTTCCTATTTCAACTTCTGTTGCTCTCTGCACACTCAATGCAAGCTCAGTGAAATAGCTTTATTTATTGAAAAGGAGTTCAAAAGCTTGACACTGCGCATAAGCAACGATATTGTAAAAATATTACAATGCAAAAAAAATAAACTTTCTAATTAAAATAAAAAGTTCAGTACACAAAATGGCTTTTTGATCAGAAAAATATCTGGCCATCTCTTACAGCTCTTCTCACAAGCACATTTTTCAGACTTCATTATATACCCAGCTATAAGTTTTCAGAATCTTTACAGAAGCCAGGTGTGCTCAGTAAATTAAGAAGAATCATAATGCTCATTCATTCACCTTTAACTGAAATAACCATAAATAATGCCTTGAATTCACTGTCAACAGGAGAGGAATGATGTACTGAATAATATCAATGCCCTCTACAGGTAGAATGAGAAACCTCTATAATTCCAGGATTTGAGTTTGTCTATTCATTAAGTAGGTACTAAAAATTAGTCTATATTGGTCCTTATAAGATCACAATGACATTATCTGAAAATCGTAAGCGATGCAGTGGAATCTGCCTATATTGTTGACAGTTCAAAACCTATCACAGACCTACTCCAATTTTAAGATGCAGGCTTAAGGAGATCTGTTCTGAGCCTCCTGCTGACTGTCTACCCTACATGGTCAGAAGTTTCAGAGTCTGACAGAATGATCTCTTACTGCCCACAGAAAAAAACAGCAGTCAGCAACTACAGCCTGCCTGAACTCTGTGACATTCAGCCCCACGAGCTTCTTCACAGCATATCTATTCTGGTTTTCCATCTGGCCAAGCATACTGGGGATGAGATCAACAAAAACATAAAGATATGCGCTCAGTTTCAGGGAAGAATGATCTCATCCCACAGCCAAAGCTGAATGCAAATAAAGCTAATTGAAGACTTCTGCATTCAGAGCATGAAACAAGACTTTAAAACAGTATTTTCTGGAATAAGAGGGCTGACAGACACTAAATGAAATGTGGTAAATATATGCAACAGGAGTAACAAAGCAACGAAAGTACTGAAAGTCAGTAAAAAGCAATCATAGCAACATAACAAAGAAAAAACTACAGCCTTGCTTAATATTAACAGTCACCAACATCCTTATTATTTCCAAAGAAACATGCCCAGAACATCCTGCACTGGAGTAGATGAACTCCAACAAATGGCCTTGAATTCAGCTGGCACATGAGCTGCAGTTCTAACTTCATATGCAGTACAGAATGTAGCTACTGCTGCATTCACAAGCTCTGGCTGCATAGAGAGATGGCTTGTTTCCATTTTCCCTTAACTGCCGTAGAAGTTCAGGGTCTGTACGCAGGCTGCAGAATCAAAATACCATTACAACACTTGCCTGTTCACTAAAAACATGAACAAATGGCTTCATTTCTATATTTGAGAAAGCAAAGAGACATGTTCTATATCTAGGAGCCAAAGCTGCCAGCAAAATAACAACTAAGAAAAAGAAAACTTTGATCAGTTCTGAGTTCAAAGAGATGTCACAGCATACATAGCTTCCAAATCAGATTATTGTGGCACTGGCAGTTTCAAAAATACCTTTCTTTTTCTGTTCATGCATACAGCACAAATGGAAATCAGTCAGTCAGTCTCCATATGGCTTTCGACCTGCCTACCATTCTCAGTCTATCGAAGCTTAGACCATATTTATAGTCCCTTAAAATCACAGTTTTGCATTAAATCCTAATGGATTAGGAATGAATTAGGACAGTATCAGGTGGGGAGTTTGACTTGGGGGGATACACCTGTGAAAGCATAATGCAGGTGTCCTAAGGCAAGCTCAGGGAGGCCAGAAACCTCCCGTGAAGCAGAAGGGCAAAAGCTCGCTTGATTTTCAGTACGAATACAGACCATGAAAGCGAGGCCTCACAATCCTTCTGACTTTTTGGGTTTTACTTTATGCTTTCTGTCTAGGAATCAGCAACCTCAGTGATGCAGAACACAAAAGCTAAGGAGACTCTTCTCATGGATGCTGCAGATACACCACCTTCTGAGGGCTACAGAGAAATTACAAGAGCTGCAATAAGCAGAAAATGTGTTTTTTTTTTTTAAAGCCCTACATTAATGCCATTCTTTCTACATGCAACTTAACAGAGACTAAACAGATCTTCAGTATTCTCCCCTCATTCGCATTGAACAACTAAAAGTAATGCCTCCTATTTCATTATTGTAATACCGTAATGCAGCATAGAATACAGCAATGATAGCAGAGTTGCAAAGTCCCAGGCTACAGCAAGTGAGTATATGCCCAGGTACAGCAGCTGTGGACACAGAAACAAAGGAAAAAAAAATCTGCTTACCCTTGGAAGGCCTCAGGTAGGTAGGGATCTACAGCAAGATGCCCTTACCTGCACTGCCAACCCTTAAATGAGGCCTGGGAAGGGGTTTATCCTGGCTCCACCCCTCCTGGTCACTCAGAGGGATTCCATGCACCTGAGCTCCCCTAGGTTGGCCTTCCCACCACATGCTCAATCACATTTCAAGCTGTGACTTAGCATTTCCACTACAATTATGTTGGCCTACAGCATCAGAAACAGATGGTGCTATGGCAGTAGAGGTTGAACCTTCCCACCAATATTCCATTACCTTTTGTTGCTGTATGACAGACAGCAGCACAGAGGCAGCATAACAAAATAGCATCTGACATATAAGTGTGGATGAAGTAAAGGTGTGTCAATGAATTCCTTCATGTGGAAATAAATGGCACTTATTGACATTTATTAATGCCTACCAAACATTTACAGAAACACTACAGTGAATGTGAGCACAGTGAGAGAAGGTGGTACATTTCAGCAGTGGTGACAACAATGTGAAAGATAAGCCATGTTCTAGACATCCATGCACATTTGTCACACCATAGACTGAAGAGCATCTTGATCAAATCTACATGAATCAGTGGATTATAATCAAAGAACTGTGTATGGTGCTCAATATCAGCTTCAATGCTAATATATAATGGTGGCAACATAGGAATACAGCAAAATTTGCACCACGTGGGTCCCACAAATGCTTACACAAGAACAGAAAGAACACCACATGCAAGTCTGCCAGCACCTGTGGAACCAATGAGGCTGAAGGTAAGAGTTTCCTGGATCATATCATTTACAGGGGATGAGATGCAGCGTCACCACTATAAGCCAGAGCCAAAATAACAGTCCAGAAAGCAGCAAAAATGTGAATTCCTCATTGAAGAAAAAAAGACTCAAGACATGGCCCTCAATGGGTAAAGCAATATGCATCTTCCAGGATAGGAAAGGGGTGATCCTGTTGGATTTCATGGAACATGGACCACCAGATCACAATGCTGACTAAGCTGAAGGCTAAAATTTCCAGAGTCAGGCCAAAGAAGAATACAGCTTTTCTTCTGCTAAATAATAACACTAGGCCCCTTATCAGTTTGAAGACCATGAAGCACAATGCCAATCTTTGCTGGACTATCCCATCATATCCACTGGGTAGTCCAGATTTGTCTCCTTTTGACTTCCATCTGTTTGGGCCAATGAAAGATAGACTATGTGAGAAGCATATTCCTAGCAGTGATGCCATCAGAGCAGCTGTGAAAGAGTAGGCCACCTCTGCTGGTGTAGAGACTCTTGTACATTGCGAGAAAAATATATAGCTAACAGTGGTAACTATGTTGAAAAATAGTGCTTTGTAGCTGAGAATTTGCTCTATCAAGCAGTATTACTGTGCTCTTTGTATCTGTTGTAGTTTCCATAGAAATAAATGGGAGGCACTACTTTCAGACCAACTATGTACAATAGGCTTAGCAGCAGAAAACAAAGACTGATACTTGTTATATTTGCACTCTGTGTAAGTGTTCTATTTTGCAAGCGTTTCCTGTTTCTAAATTGCTATTTCTTGTTTCTAAGGAATGCTTTTGTGTGTGCTCAGAAATTGAGAGTTCTGCATTCGTCTCCACTGATAGGCTATCTAAATGCTGCACATACCCCTATCCTACCAAGGGCCAGGTTAAGTCATCCTTCACAGAAATGACAGCACCAGTTTACCATTTGTCACATTTTTTATTCCAATTGAAATTTCTCTTCTTCCCAGTACAGCTACCTAAAGGCAGTTACTGCCAACATTAAACATTTATGAAACAACTTCATTAACACGCCAATACATTTAATTATGGAACTGACTATACTGCTTGGTTGGCGTTTACCAAAACACCCAAGCTAGGTTAATTTTCACACTCTGTTGCATAAACTGAAGTGAATATTTATCAAGGTGTCTGTGAGTGAAATATCCAAGAAGACAGGGACTGTAAAGCTGACAGCTTTCAAAGTACCTGGGCATATCATTCACAGCATCTAGAATACAGCATGTCAACAGGCTGTCACAGCCTTAGACAGAGTTAACAGGATGGCAGAGCATGTTAAGTTTGCTTTGTTTGTGAATAAGAAATTAACACTGAATTTTCTGTTTTGAAGAATGTCTTATAGTCAATGCATTGTGTACAAGCTTCTAAAGATTACTTTTAAGATTACTGATATCTTCGCAGCTTAATTTCAATCCAGAGATTTTTGTTATTTTCCTGAAATTTAAAGTCTACAGCTTCAATCACCTCTTCAAATATCATTACAATTACTTTACAATCAACAAGGCACATCATCTTAGCCTGATTATAAAATGGTGGAGTTTCAAGACAAAACTTGTAACACATGAACTGAGATTAACTAATTAAATCCGGTAATTATTGCTAAAAGTAAAAACAGTAAGAAATCAGAAAACTATTTTTGGGAAGTGGTGGATGCTCTGTTTGGCCATCCTTATTCACATTCCCATTTAAGTTCTATAAAGAACAAAAAAGAACAGAAAATAAATTAAAAATCACAACTCAGTTATGCTGCAATTAATTTTTGAGCACCATCTGCTGGTCTCCTTCTAAAACAACTACCAGATTTCCCAACTGCCAGTAACTGCTAGATAAATACCTGATGTCTATTAACTTACCATTTACTTTGTTACATTATTTATTAAAAGTACCTATACATTACCAACATATTAGAGAAAATAATTCATGTAATAATTCCAAGAATTTATCTAGTAATGGAGGATTTCATATAATGATGTGTTGCAAAGTTTAAAATAGCTCATGGTGCCAATATACTTTGTAAGACTGTAAGTTAAAGTTTTTAAGTTGAAAAGGTTTGTAAAGTAGAGTGAAAATTAAAGCAACTTGAACAGTTTTTTTGTCTTAATGTACCATATGTCATCCCTACCACAACTCGTCAGCAAGAACAGAAGAGGTATCACTGCCATCTTATATTTCTTGCAGATTCTCAGATACCGCTGGAAAAAGTTTCAGAGAAATCTACAGAACCCTCAGCCTCAAATGTATCAATTAAGATTACTTCCTACTCACCCCATGCTCCTATCAGTGGAAGGATGTGGTACCACCTGCTTTCCTTATCTTTCTCCTGACTCCATTCCAGAAGGCCTAACATTTCTTCCAGGACATGACAACAGGGTCCGATGTTAGGAGCCTAGATAGTGATGGGGCTCAGCATTAGAAAATCTGTAGCCTTATTCTCTTCATCTCCCAAGAACTCTAAATAAATATGTTTAATTTTGCTCTTCCAAGAATATCTGGCAAAATAAGAAACTGCACTCATTTTCTGGTAAAGACACAATTTTGAATCATCCTGCAACGAGACTAGTGAACCTACCGCTTCCTTCCCACTCTTCTAACAAAAGAACTTCAATGCCATCCACACATATAATAAACTAAAATACTTTAAAAATATCAATTAATTTAAATAAAAATTAGTTTTACCACCACACTGCAGCTACAGTCTCCAAGCCATAGGCATAAGATGATAGTCTGTTAATACACTGAGCAGTTATCTAAATTTGTATTGAATTATTGAACTGTTATTGATTGATTCCCATTTTAAAACTGCTTTGTCTACTGCTCAGAATACTGTAGTCAGGCAGGAATCCTTCAACACCACAGTTTGCCTATTTGCCTGGTTATAACTAGTTCTCTCTTCATCTTTTCATGCGAATAACTTCCTGCTCTGAGGTTATCCTAATATTCCTCATAGACTTGCATCAGTCATGTGATACTCTGTCTAGTTCCTACTGGTATCTTGACATGTGGGATTTCATAATTCTATATTGGTATGATCATGAAACATACTTATTACAGGAAAGGACTAGAAGCTGCTACACAATTCCCTAAAGCTAATCATAAGCAAAAATTACTTATACTCTTATCTCAGCAATTTAAAATATAGTCCAATTAAATATACTTTACATAGGTATAACACTGGTGTTATGTACTGGTGTTTCAAGAGCTCCCAGCTTACATCTAACTATAGCACAACAAGAACAATGTTGAGTTTTTTTTGGCTCTCATGTTGGAAGCATTAACCACAATTGGGAGCATTTGCAAATTTTCAGTGAAGTTCCTTCCTCAGTTCCAGGAGGCTCTTCTTTGATGTCTTAACTAAAGTTTCAGGATGTTTAACTTGTTGCATCCTGCTTTAGTTCCAAGGTATAAAGCCTCCTGGAAAGCCCCAAAGTCTCAGCCTTTCAAGAAACAAGAATTTACAAGCAAATGTGTATGTGAGGAAGAAATGCATCCTAATAAAATAAGGTAGGAACACACTACACACAATTTATTACACAATACAGCATGGAACAAAACTCAGGGAATATTTCTAGCTAAGTCTTCTCTAATAAGCATACAGTCTCTTTAATCTTGTAGATTGAATTTGGTGTATTAGAGGAAATTGTAATCATATTAATGAAGTCTTGCATTTTGAGTGCTTACATCAATGTCTGTGTTCAGTTGAGGTTTAACAACAAGAGAGAGATGCCAACAAAGTCAAGTTTTTTTGTCCCATCTGCTTTTCCCTGACATATTAACCAGCTTTTGCAGTGAACTTCAAAGTAGTCAGAACTATCTCAAACCAACTCCAAAAGCATGAATGTTTACAGCAAGCAGACTTGCATCTTTATCACGGGTATTCTCAAACAGTAACAATATCAGATATTTGTAGAAAGCAGATAGCAATATCAGTTCTTACTTTAAAAGAACAAGTTTCCTGTGTAATTTTCCATATTTTGCACATGCAAAAGGAATGAGGTAGGGTCTCTTGTCCCGTTTCACAATGAGCAATTACTCTGAAGTATAATGGTATGGGTGTTTGATGCATACCAGAACCTAGTATTTATAAACAAACTTGAGCACAGATGTCCATGGAGTAGCCTCTGTTACAACCAAAACAGATTGAGACCAAAGCATTTCATATAGCAGCAAAGTCAGGAGCTATCCCACAAAGGTCATTAGCTGAATTTAAATTATAATTACAATACAGCATTGAATGATGAACCAGAAAACTATTTCCTTCACTAGCCTAAATTCTGTTCTAAAAAAATCCAAACAAACATTGCAACAGGACAGAATTGAAGAACTGCTTCTTAATGTAAAAAAAAAAAAAACAGTATAAAAATACAAACCTTCTGTGCACTGTTTTTCTCAACAAGAGATTTTTCCCTCCTTCCTGCTATGGGAACGTTGTCAGTCTCATGTTTTGTACACACAATACATTTGTTTATTCTATCATTTTTGCGTCTTTTTTCACTACTAGTGTTAAGTGTTTATACCAGAGTCCTATTAAATTCTCATACTACATTTTCATTTGCTATTCTCAGAAATACTGAAGAGTTAAATCCTTTCCCTACTAGATCCAGTTAATACATGTGTTCAGATATAAAAATTCCATCAAATAACATATTGGATAATGTCCATTTAGCAAACCCATGCCATTTTGCCCTTTCCACAGAAAAACTTGAGGAGGTTGACAAACTCAGTCTCTAGGGAGATTCTGGTGATATATAGAGTTTGCCCACCTACCAAACTAAAAATACTTCACAAATGTATGAATTGAGAAGCATACTGCTCTAGAAAATTAAATAACTGTCTGCTAAGCTCCTACAGGACTGCCAATTTTACATTTGGTGTCAGGAAATGCCTTCTCAGCTGCAAAGAAGGAATTCAGTAGAAACAGTGAGTCATACTACCAGCTTTTGACATGAAAACCCTGCCAGTGAGTACTTATGGAACACTGCTGTTCTCCCTCAGCCTGGACTCCATGAAGTCTCACTGCAGAGTTTGGATTTGTTTCCAACACTCCTTCCTACTCAGTGGAAAAAGTCTGTCCAGTAGGACAACATGGGCAGTAATTATCTTCCATTCATTCTCAATGAGCTCCACTGAGCTAGCAGCTTATAAATTGCTGTTTTTGCCGTAGTTGCTTGGTTGCTTTTTGCTTTTAAAAAGAGTTAAGTACATTCACAACTAATTCTTTATTGTGGTTATACTTTCCTGGTGCTATATTTCCTCTTTTTAGGTTAAATATCTTCTGCTGCATCAGGACTTCTATGCTGTAATACTTAGGAATTTGGGCTTTAATTTTTTTTTTAATATACACAGACTTGCATGCTTTATAGATTGCTTTTAATGATAGCTAGTTACAATTTTATATTGGGGAGTTTTATTTGTTTTAAAAAACCATTATGTTATTACAAGCTTTATTATGACAATAAAAAGGTGATTCTTTCTGTATTCAAAAAGCATACAGCAGGTTATCATTTGCAGTTTCAATAAAAGTTATACTGCAAAGGAGGGAACCATAGCTTCTAAAAAGCCATTTGCCAAACTGCAGTTAACTAACTTCAGGCAACTACCATTAATGACTTCCCTTTTTACAGTACACTAATAGCTAAGAGAACCCCACCTTCACCTGCAAGTTAATGACTGAAAACCAGCAAGATGAAAACCCAGCAAAGTGATAATTATATGGTGAAATGGATGCAATTAGTTCTAGTAAAACAATCTTTTAAGAGCAAAAGCAGCTTTACCAGCAACACATTTAACTGATGACCTCTACCTTACCTTTTAGTACTTTGTAATTTGAAAAGCATATGAATCAAATCTACATTTCTAAAGTAGTAAGGCACAGAAAGATTTCACCCTTCATAGAAGAGAGGTAAACGTGATTCAATATCAAGACATTGAAATCTTTACATTGAACAGGCAATACGCATCCTACTGATTAATTCCCTTGAGCCTGATTCTCAGAAGCAAGGATTACAATTAATACTTTAAACAGATAACATACTTCAAGCAAAAGAAATGTAAAAATAATCAGAAAAACACAAAAGCTCACAAGTCTTCTGATTCTGAAGTCTTCAGCAGCTGTGATGAAGTAATAGTAATTTTGAATTCCATTTAGTGCAGCAGGAGGGGAACATATTCAGTGACCACTCAGCTAAGACAAATGAGCTGTACTGGCTGCACCTGAACTGGAGAAAAATATTCTATCAATAGTAACAAGTGCCTAGGCAGCTGAAGTATCTCTCTCAAAGCTGATTCTAGGTAGGGAAATTTAGAATGTTTACTCCCAGCCAGCTTTACAACTTAGAGGGAAAAAATAAAAAACAAATCTACCCTCCCCAAAATCCTCTACCTCCTAAATAACATCTCTCCCCACAAAAAAAAAAGTAAACAACAAACCAACAGTATTTAAAATATTTACTTTAAAAAAAACAGTGCTTTCATAACATGCTAGTATAGTATTATCACCATATTGCTTGACCTTTGCTTAAAGATTTAATTAGCAAAAAGATCTGAATGAAATAGCTTTGTCAAGCAGGACAAACAGACAGAAAGAATTACCATTTAACTGTATAAAAACCGAGTAGCATTACACAACCAGTTGTTGAAGTCTGGTTAGCAAAAGGAATCCCAGTAATCTAGATAAATCAAAAGCTGCCAATGCAAAACACACAGCTTGACTTGATACAAAGCATTTTTGGAAGTCCAGCATTTTAGAGAGGATAAGGACAATCCTTCAGATTTTTACCAGTAATAAATTACTCATTCTATAGGTGTGTGTGTATATTTATACCTCTAACATTAACAAATCCTTGATGATAAATGAATTTTGGACAACAAGAAAAAACTAGAAAATTTAACAAACCATGACCAAATCTGAGATAGACTACTACATATTGAAATGAATTATATGCTGGGTGTGTATCAATTCATACCAGTTTCAGAAATAAGTCATAAACAAAATCAAAATGTGGTTGTTACACACATTTTCTTCTCTAATTTAGAATTTTTCACAAAGGATGTTAACCTGACTCTTTTAAAATTCACCTATGTAGATTGGCTCATGCAAGACCTTTTAATCAGAACGTGAACTGTACGAATTACAGTTGGATTCTATCAGCTATAGTTCAATACAAAATCAACCCTTGACTGAAGCACCAATACAAGGTATGTTTTCAGCTCTAAAGAACACCTACTGTAAAACAAAAGACAGAATTAATAGGTGTTTTTCATTTTAATAGCACAAGTTGAATACATGGAGAGAGACCCACATATACTTTTTCTTAGGATGGCAAAAAACCTCCATACTATAGTGTATTAATGAATATACAATTATGGTAAAAATTAATAAAAATAATGAAAGCAATGAAACATGGGAGCTGTCTACATTTCTATACATTTCACATAGCTTTTAAGCTGTGTTGGTGACTTACTAACAAAAAACACAGCCTTTTTGATAGGTTTGTCAGTTATACAAGTGATGTCCACAGCAAAGCACCTCTGAGAGTTTCTGTTTCAGAAGTTAAAAGTTTTATCTGAAACAGGATGGAAGTATAAAAATCAAGTAGGTAAATATAGTTATGTGCATATGAAAACAAAATTTTTGTTCCAGGTATGTTTAAACTGGAACATATGGCTTGCTGGAAGACGCCCCTGATCTAGTTCAGAGATCGGAGCATTACCTATGGGGGAAGTGTACTGTTGTGAGAAGAAACATTATTAGCAAAGCAGTAGAACATTTCTTTTCCATGGCTACATTCCTGGGGATGCAAGATAGTCAAAACAAACCCAACTGTCATCACTAGCACACCGACAGCAAGAATCAGGCAGGAGATGAGGTTATCTGAATGGTTCCATCGCTCTTCAGACAGCCTTAGATAACACGCTGTCGGGATGATAAAAACAAGTGGGGTAGCACTCAGAACTCCCTGCATATGGGAAACAATAAGAAAACTCTAATAAGCATGTATACTCAGAACCACAAGAACAAGAACCTGAATTTATAAATAGCTGTTAAAGATTGATGCAGCAGTAAAGCTGGAGAATAGAGGCCTTTACCAGCATCGCTAAATAGAAAATTTCCTTTTCCAACTCAAAGATAGCTTGTAAAAGACTATTTGTGCTTTGGTGATACAGAGTATTTTATGTTTGAAAAACTTCCATTAAATCGTCAGATATGATTGGCAGAAGTTTCTAAGCTTCAGAAGCTTCAAACATAATAGTTCTTCAGTGTGATAACTGACATGAAATATTTAAGATCATTCCACTTAGGAGTCTAAATCTGCCTTCAAAGAAATGGAAATAGCACGTAGCATGTCAAAGAATTGTGATAAACTTTTATGACTTGATTTACAGTAACTTCTTTATGAAAGCTAAGCTCTTTTACAGAGTAAACATCCCTTACTAAAAAAATCAGCTTCTCTTTAGTTGTTACACATATAAATATAGATTAAAAGTAAGTTATCAAATACTACAGTATAGACATTGTTGATTAATATTTGAGTAACAAGCCAATAAATCTTTACGCACAAATTTTGAACATTTTCTGTCACAAACTTTAAGAAACTTTTTTGTTTTAACTGAATTATGGTGAAGTAGCAATCCAACATATTGAATACCTTTGCCTCACTGTACACTCTTATGTACATCCTTATGATAGAACCTGTTAAGAGTGATCAATACTTGCAAGAAATATTTTTCATTAAAAAAAAAAGACTCATAAGCATGTGAAGAAAGGTGAACCAGCATTATATGATGCTAAGTCTGTAGACGCTCGACTGCCTCATGACTGAATGCTTTCCCTGAAGCACTGACAGCAGACAAAAATGAAGGTTTGTGCTTTGTTTTAAAAGCAGAAAACAGTGAAAAAGCAAGCATTCAGAAGTGTTCATCTCCAGTGAAGAACCAGAAAACAGTCCTACTATAGGAACAAAAGTCTGCTGAGAACATCAGTTCTCCTTCATATGCAAAAACCTAGTTCATTCACTAGTATTAAACTTAGTCCATTCTACTAGCAGCAAACAAGACCCCAAACATTCTTTAAGCACAATTACATCCCAGGAATATATGTACCTATAATGTCAACTTGTCTCAAGATATGAGCAACCCACTCAAAAGCCTGGCTAACAACTTCTGTTTGAAACTGAACTGTTGGCTTGACTGTTCAGTAAATGCTTAGGCCTCTTTGGGTACTGCATTAATGGAATATTTACTTCTGAGTAATTACTTTAAAATAATTCAATTCCAAATAGGAATCAAATATTTATTCATGCTAAAAAAACACATTTACTGTTCTCTAATGTAAATGTATTCTTAAAATATATAAAAACTTAATACACATACATAGAAATAAGATATGCACACACATAAGTAATGAGGTTCATTTTACCAGGATTCAGATATTTGATCCAAATAGGCGTGTATGCTGCACAAACACAGATAATTTTTTTGGTGTGTATATGCACACACAGATCAATTTCATTCACTTGTGACGTAAAAACAGGAAGAAAAAAGAAAAGAAATTACCATGTCACAAATAAGGACCACTGCTTTTTTTCAGATAATTATAAATTGGAAAGGATTAGCTTAGAAGAAACTGTGTAGGTAAGTATTTAAAAAAGAGGGCAATTGGATAGTTTATCTGAATATTCAGACCAGTGATATAAGATTAGTCCAAGCACGCTCCACAATATTGCTGCTAAAGAATCGCTCACTACCTCTCAGTGAGCAGATAAACTACACTGTAGATTAGAACAATGTAAACATACTTGAATGCATCATGTAGCATAAAGAATAACCCCCCCCACACACAGTTTAGTAAACAAAGCAGTTCCCATAAAATCAGGTTATGACACTCATGTTATGAAATCATTCAGTTTTGCTCCCTGCTAAACCCAGCAGGTAAAAATTCCAAGTTGCTATGAGTTGAATTTGAAGTTTTCTTCCTAAACATTCCCTCTAATTTAATTACCTTAAATAACTCTCTTTTCTTCTGAAATTTATATGAACAGTTTTAACATTTCTATCTGAACGCATAAGGTTTTTACTAGAGCTACAGATATATCACAACTCTGTTTTACTGTTTTTTAAAATGATTTATTAAATAGAAGAGTATACAGGTTCACTTACATTCAGCTCTAAAACTATTCCAAGGCAATCATACACTAATGATACACCAGTCGCCACAGCAATGATAATTACTGTTACAACAATATGGAAAACGGTTGAGAGGCTCCCATGGAAAAATACATTGGCAACCACCTGAAAAAGAACCACAACTTTAAACCTTGATTTTGCTCTCTATTTCAACAAATAGCTTTAACAAATCTTCTAATGTTCAGAAACAAAAAAAAATGGCTGAGAATATACTGACTGAACCTTACCTTTGTTGCTTCAAGAAATCATCATTTGGTTCCAAAAGTAACTCATAACAAATATTAACAAAAATCACAGAACACTCTCCAGACTGACTTAGTACATTTTCAAGACTTACTTTCCTCTCAATTTGGATGCTACAGAATAAACCCAGTTTCTATTGTTTACTGAACTAATGGATTTCCTCAACAGAAATACTTTAATCAAGCAGAACTGGGAGGCATAATAAATATGCTATTTTTAGCTATGCAACATAATATCAACAGTAGCATTTATACCAATCCTGGAATTCCACACAGCTCTTATAGCTATTATTAATATATTGGATAATATAATAAACATTGTATTGCCAGAATCTAAACAGTACATGTACCATCACATTCAGAACAGCATGCAGCAGAGCAAGATGTTGATAATTATTACACATCAACTATTGACTTCAGCAACAACAAGCGAGAACACTAGTAACATATCAGCATTGTTAAAGGGAAAATGTAACACATGCTTACCTCTCTAGTGACAAAACATTCAAGAGGGAAGGTCAGAATTACAGTAACTCCATAACAAAACCTTCCAAATGTAGCAAGGTTGTCATCTCTACAGTAGTTTTCAAATATATCTCCTGAAGTACAGCAAAACATCAATTAGATTGAACTCACCTCATCTGTTTATTTGTAAACTGAAGAATAGGTTAATAGAATCACTGGAGTAATTGAGACTTCCTAATCCCCTTTCCTCTTATATCAAGAAAAATCTTCATCTTAACCTATTAACAGGTTTCTTTCTTTTTTTTTTTTTTGTTTAAAACTTGGAGCAGCATATACATTACAGAAATATTTTAATATATGCATATCAGAATGTCATCTGTCACCTTCCCCTTCGTATCAGTTCTGTTTGACACGCTGATGCTTACCTTGGTAGGAAACAGAAAAAGCTTGCAAATGACAAGCTTTAATTTAAAAGCTTTCATTTAAAAATTTAAGTCACAGAATAATAACAATTATAAAAGAAGACCAGACTGCATAACAGCATTTCCCTTATAGTATCTAATCATAGCTGATAAGCTGCAGTGTAAAATTTCAAATATAATGGGCATTCAGGCTCAGAATAAGTACATAGATTATTAACCAGTACATCTTTTTACATCTAACAACAAAAACATTGATAAAGAATTCAAATCATCAAATTGCTTAGTGTTTATAACAATGAATCTGGAATAACAATCCACAAGACTTAAGAAAAACTGCCACAATACGACAATGTATAACATCCTTTCTACCTGGTTATTATACTGTTCTACTATTTACTACTTTCAGGATCACAATAGCACTAAAGAAGGAATAAAGTATGCTTTAGAGAAAAACATCTGAAAGATTTTGACAGGAGATGCAGAAGGCAAGGCAATGTTTAGTCCTCATTTGGACGTGGAAGCACTCAAAGGGGATTTTCACCAATGAGGCTTTCACTTGGAATCTGACACCTACTAACACCTATCCAACGCGTTTGTATCCTGCCTTGGCTGATGGGTAACTATGAGAAATAGCTATCCTAACTATTTAGGCCATAATGGGTGCAGTATGCCAAAAATCATACAAAGCTGTTAACAACAGGACCTGAAGGGTAAGGACTGCAAGAAAGCACGAAGTTTGAGGAATTGAGCAGTTTACCTTCTGTGTATCCTGTAAAAGTCATGTATCCACATGCAGCAAACAGTACACTGATAACAACAGCAAGTAAAACAGACACATGTGTGATTCGAGACCAGTTGTTTAATGTGGGTTCTTTCAGAGAGCCATATATTAAAAAGCTGTTATGGTGGCAGATGAATGCTGAAATACACATAATATTTAAAGGAAATAAATGAATTCATGTACATGTACATATAAAATAAACTGATGAAGTGTATACTCCAAGGTAGGAGAGCAGACAGCAGTTTGATATCATTACTGAGCACAAACATTAAACCTACAATGAATGGAACTTCTACTTACTTGATGAAGGTTTATAGTCATCTTGAGATGACTCTGATTGCATTACACTAAAATGCCATAGTGTTTCTCCCCTCTTCCCCATGAGTATAAAAAAAAACACTCCAAAACTTAAAACACACACAAATTCTAGGTTCAAAAATACCCAAGTCATTTCTTAAAGTTGATCTGAAGACTGAAAATACAAAAATGACTTACCAAAAGACATCACCCCAATGGCCTGTATTGCATTTGATTTTGCAAATATCCATGCATTTTCTGATTTGGGTCTAAAACAGAAATTTTTAGTTATATTATGCTCTTTTAAACCATCAATTACTAAAAATAATTTTAAACACCATGCTATAATATAGAATTCCTATCTGAATTAGGCCACAGTGTTCATCAACAGTAAGTTGAAACCAAAGATATGCCTTTGTCACTTCTTGTTTTGAGAAAAGTATTCTAGAAACTAATTCTTACAGCTAAAACTGTCAGCCTGTTTCAGCAACCAGTTATGTAAATAAATTAAAGTCATCATTTATCAAGAAACAGTAAACGAGAAGGTAAATGCTGTTACAAGCTTTTGATGAGGTCTTCTCAATCCAACACCTCCTCTGAGTATTTGAAGGCATTTTATTCTTCTGAGTTTACATATGTAATGCATTGTTTCTAGAGACTTATTTGTAGACCACATATCAAGTGAGGCAGTTTGTCTTCATTTACACCTTTTTCAACTGTTCCTCATCTTGAAGGAAGCGTGTTAGTTCCTAAGGTAATGATAAATTTGAAGAAAATATACAGAGATGTTGATAACCAGACAAGAATGCATTATCTTCCACATCCACATCTCTAAGATACATGCACAGTTTTGGACCTTAGAGAAGGACTATAGAAAAATGTAAGCAATCTTTGTTAAAATCAATTTGATACATGAAAAAGTTTCCTGAATAAAGAATCAAAATGAAGGGAAACATCCTTTCCCAAACTTGCAATTTTCTAAAAATATAACTGGAATTCACAAGTTCAGCCTTTCCTTCATAATACAAAATCATGGGCAAAGCATGAGTACAGAAACGCTTGCTTTTAAAAAATGCACTGCTGCTAGCTTTGATTGCTTCATTTTTATTTACAGGCCTTAAGCTGCTATCATCTCCCTAATGCCCAACAAAACAGTATGACAATCACATCAGTTCTACAAAGGTAACACTGGCAGCTTTGCCTCTCCCTCTACCTGATAAAAGGGTGATTTTGATAGCATAGCATAATCCACTACAGCTAAGTTTCACTGCTGACAAATTTTTTAAACCAAATTAATGAAAAAAAGTTCTGTTGCTGTTAGTTTCTGCTTTGAGGACTCATTTATTATTTCTTCATTACTTAAATATTCAAGTCTTCCTTTTTCCATATTAAACACCTGATTTCTAGTATCCAGTGCACATTCAGCATAGGCTTAAAACAGCTTGTAGGCTCTTAAACTACAGATGCTAACCTTAAGAAGAGAACTTAAGCACCAATATCAAGCTTGTTTTTTGAGCTTGGACGCTGTACATATTTGACTAGCATGCAGTTTCTGATCTTAAGCACCTGAATACAGCCCTCCTAAAATATGCTCTGATTCAGCATGTAGATGTAATCAAAACTACAGATTAAATAAATATTGTGCATTTATCTTGTGAAACAGACATTCTGATCAAACATAGCTGCTGTTGCTCCTTATATAAAGTAGCAGTCTTTAAATTGATATCAGTGATTTCAAACTGCTAGAGATGTCTGTGAATAATTCATAATTATGAATGCCTTTTTCGGGAAAATATTCACATTTGATTCAAGCAGCAGTAACAGTATCAAATATAGACTACAGAAAATAACATTACAACTATTCAATTCTATCACCACTAGAGGTCAGCTTTGATATCAAATATACAGAATGGAAATCTGTCGTATCCTTTGATGATAGAATTTTTGAAAGTCAACTTATTACTTTTCTATTCACAATCAGTATTTAGATTATCTAATGCCCTATTCTAAAAATACACAAATAAAGAATGCATGTACATTAAACACTTCTTTATCAGACAATCACAACAATTTCACACATTTTTCCCTGTGAAAATAGCACATCCTGTGTATCCTATACAACCATATCAAACTCCTACAAATATGGACTTAAAAAAAATGGAATGTAGAAAGTATATGAATTTTATTTGAAACAGTGAACAAAGTGGCCAAATTATTAAAAAAGCAATTAAAAAAACAGTCAAAAAATACCAGGAACTAGCTTCCTCACTGCAGCATTAGCTCATGCACTGGCATGATTGAAACACTGCTTGGCTTTTCTGAATGAATGGCAAATCAGACAAGGAGGACTATTTGGAGGTGGGGAGGGAGCCCAAAAGAACAAATCCTGTTTATTTAGCAACCTAAGAGGTAAATTCCTTCAATTTCCAGATCTACAATTTTAACAGTCAGCAAATGCCACGTCATAACAAGCACATTGTTACAGATGACACATGCAACAGTACACAGCTCAGCGTTTCTTACTGTAAGTTACATAATCCTCCACATATTTTCAAAGACATTCTCAAACCTTGGGAATAGACAGACCTCACACTGGTGTGCTACATAAACTAAAAAGTGAAAGAAACACATTAATACTCGCTATTTCCAGATCCCCAATTAAACTTCATATGATATATTTGCATAACTGAATTTCATCTAATACATGCTTTTAGGTGAAAAACAAATGATTTCACAAAGACTTGAGAAATACATGATAAAAAAGATCCAGAAGTGAGTATCATGGTCTAGAAACAAGCACACTAGCCACATACAGACTAAGGAAAGCATACATAAATTTATGTGAATATGTAGGTAGATGCATACACAGGCTGACATAGTATATCAGAATACCAGGTAACACTTTACCTGCTCGACTCTCAATCCTGCTGCTACTTCTAAAGACTTTTGCTTTGTTTTGACAAGGACCATTGCTCTGATCCAGCCTAATCTACTTCATTGTTATTGGAACTGAAAGATTTCATCTTCTGCTCTCACAAGAACAGCAGTAGCTGTGAACATCCACAAATAATAAAAAGTAAACCAGGTTATTTCTCTACTTTTGGTGTATAAAAACATAAGCTATGCCTGATAAAGGTTTTTTTCCTCATGCTAGAGAAGCAGAACACAGATGAAACAAAAAAAAGTTAATATTTGTGATGCTAATTGCATTTAGTGAAAGCTGTACTATCAATAGTATATAGAAGTTACAAAGCAGCAGTAACACTTGATAGACAATGTAACTGCGATTGTTAAACAACACAGGCAAGGTAAAGCAATACATCAGCCCTACTTAGAGCTACATTAATCTCCATTTTTCCTTAATGAAGAACAGGTCTGTAAATACAAGCTTGAGTCTTAGTATTTTGAATTTCACCACAATAAATTTTATCTTCATTTACTGTTGGCTTCAATATAAAGAACCAACTTTCTACTTTCAAATTATTTTTCTGAGCAGTTACTGTGATCAGCTGCCAGTTGAGTAATTCTCACATTCTATTTATGAGTAGCAGATGCTCTTCAAGTTTTTTTTCCTGTATATTTTTGTATAACACAGATACTGGCATCATGACATTCTTCCCAAAAGAAGATCAAATTAAAGCGATTCACCTTTATAAGATACTTAAAGTATTGCTGTATATTTGCAGTATTAAGGTAATCTGAAAGCAGTGAGATAACTCTAATCCACTGGCTTTGATTACAGCAGATAGTTTCCTAGCTGCATCAGGTGGAAATAGAGCAAAGAATAGGTCATCTAAATGCATTTTTTTATCCAACATCTTAAACTACCGAGAATAAGAGCAGCGGATTTTATTTGCAGGAACATTATGTCCTTCAGGCAGCAATAAGAAAATACCCGATACTAACCAAATGTAGAAAAATACCTCAGCTTCATATTTGTCATAAGAGGAAATAAATTAAATCAAGTAATCCCTCAACAGAAATACGTCTACGTCTTCTCCGCCCCATAATAAGTAACAAGAAATGAAAACTCATGTTCCCAAACGACTCTGTCCGCTCCCAGAGCAACTAAAATATAAAACAAAATGCAACATTTCAAAGCCACATAAGTGCTGTTTTCAGCCTACAGTTCCAAACCACATGAAATCATTGCAAACAATAATTCTACAACAAACTTCATGAACAGAGTAAAAAAAAAAAAAAAAGGAAAAACTGCCAGCTCATAGTTACACAGAGAAGAGTTTGATATTTAGACTAGATTGCCAACTCGAGGCATATTCACCTCAAGTCATTTTGCAAAACAGAAAACATCAAACCACACAGACAGGAGCATTACAATCCCCAAAAAACACAGCTCAAAGGGGACTCGAAACATTTTGGATGTAAGATATATTAAACACTGTAGCAGAGGCACCATAGTCTCACTTCTATTTACAGAGAACTTAAGGTAGCAATTTTGAACAGGTATAAGAAAAAAAGACAGTACTGGAACTGTGTTGAATTTATAGAAAGAATTACCAAGTGAAACAAGTTACAGCTTACTATAGGAATTTGAGCGTTAGGAAAGGAAGGAATAGCTTGCTCTCCATATACAGCATGGTTAGGCTGAGAGGCAATGAACATGAAATGTTGTAGGAGAAACACAGTTTGGAGAACTTCCTAAGGGAAGGCTAGTTAAGAACAGGACTGGAATATCATGGAGTTGTCAAGAATAAGTTGAACAATACCTGTCAGCAGTAACAGATCTACAGTCAATTCTGTCCTGTTACAACAGCAGAGATTAAGTATTCTTTCTTGGCTTCATCAAGACTTGCTATAGTTGGACAAGTTATTTTCCTGTATGACAAACTTAGGTGGTATCACAACCATATTTTTAAAAAAATCTCAGACTTCTCTTTTATTAAGAAGGACTCAAGTAAATGCATTACTTACTTGTTTCACCTGCTGAAATACAAGATTGGACACATTAAAATGTGCAAAATATGTTCTTTATTCTCACTATAAAAATGAGAGCGCAAACTGCTAACAAAATATTAGAATAGGTCTTTAATAATTCAAGTATATATGAAGTAAACTGTAAAAGACATTGATGGAATGATTATGAGGTAAAAAAGTGACTAACAGTTTATCAACAATGTTAGATGAACTTATGAAAATAAGTAGCATAATAGGAAAACAAGCATGAAGACAAAAAGAAAAGTCACAAAAGAATTAAGTGGTAAGATTTCAAAAACTACTTAAAAAGCAACACAACTTATTTTAAGAGACAATAAAGCCATGTTTTCATATATTTTGATGCACCACCATTGTTGAGAAATGTTACCATAGCAACAAGGTCAGGAGTAGCTCCTATACATAAACTTCCTTTCTCAACAGGGAATTTTGAGATTTGCCTTCCAAATACACTTTTAACACAGTAAGAAAAACAAGTCACTTAAGGAAAAAATGAGGGCAAAGGGAAGAACACAGGCAGAAATCCCATGCTATTTCAAGTTCTTCATTTCTGTGGATGATGCTAACTTTATAAACTATTAGTTATCTTAGAATCACAGAATGGCTTGGATTGAAAAGGACCACAATGATCATCTAGTTTCAACCCTATGAGCAGTGTTGTCAACCACTAGACCAGGCTGCCCAGAGCCACACCCAGCCTGGCTTTGAATGCCTCCAATGATGGAGCATCCACAACCTCCTTGGGCAACCTGTTCCAGTATGTCACTAACCTCTGAGTGAAAAACTTCCTCCTAATACCTAACCCTAAACCTCCCTGCCTTAGTTTAAAACCATTTCTCCTTGTCCTATTACTATCAACCTGTGTAAACAGTTGCAACTCCTCCTGTTTATATACTCCCTTCAAATATTAGAATGCCACAATGAGGTCTCCCCAGAGCCTTCTCTTGCCAGCATTAAAACACAAATTTCCTACAATTAGTTCTTGTACATTTGTCTGACTGCTGTGATATATTTGTGTGTCAATGTTTAAATAATCACAGTGGAAGAATCCACTCCTTCCAGAAACATTAAAAACACTTTATGAATCTACTCCAATAAATAAACTGTTGGTCATCTTTATTACCATATCTTCACATTCAAAGGATAAGGAACAAGGGATAAATGAGACCATCTAGGCCAATAATGAAAGTTACTAGATTAATAACACTTTTTTACACTATAATTATAGAAATAGTGCCACAGCACACAATTATGTGTGTACTTGTGTAGAACATTCCAATATCCAACATTAAATACTACTTTCAGAGCACAAATGCTGGAAAACAGTTTTGCCTGGTCATATGCTTTCTAAAAAGACAGAAAGTTTTGTTATTGTATTGTTCACTTATTTTCCTTATTTGTATTCAATTTTTATTATGAAATCATTAACAAAAAAGAAAAATACTGCTAAGATGCTATCTGTTTTAGATTACTGATATTGGCCATCTGACAGTAATGGACAAATAGACAAATTCTCTAGCGACAAGCAATCTCACACTAAAGAACTAGCTGCTATTGCAGGGCTCATCTACATTTTCCAATTCATCTGTGTTGGGTTTTTTTTTTTTTGAGACTTCGTAACTTTGCATATATGCAATGGAAGGAAGAAAAAATGGATTCAAATTTTAGTAGTTCATTTTTTATTACTATCAGTAGAAATTGACTTCTTTAAATATATGTTCTTACCAAAACAATCACAAAATAAGAACGATGCAACTGATTATATATCTCAAAAATTCACTTTCTAGCAAGGGTAAGAATACTTACACCTGTGGGCCAAGCGTTATTGTCCTCACCATCACAATAACCAGAATGACAACAGTTAAAAGCAGAGAAACAAGAGATACCTATAAAACACAAATTCAGTTAGTAAACTGCTGAAAAGCTCTCTTCTAAGCAGTGCAATTTTTTGAAAGACTTATTAACCAGCTACATTTCTAAATATCACATATTTATAATCATGTAGCTTGTCCTACACCATCATCATCTTCTCATTTGTTATTCTTCTTAGATAAGCAACAAATTGCGATTATTTGTTTAACAGTAAAATAGACTTTCCATTTAAATATTTGTCATCAGTGGTGCTCAGTATTTCAAAATCTGATTGCAACACATACTGCCCTAAAAAAAAAAAAAAAAAATCCACATCTACTAACAGCAGATAGGAAAAACTAGCCATTCACATAGAGACCAAAGTTTTGTTTATACTTCCTGGGACAAAAGATGGTCTGAACTTCAAAAATACTTAATTTGTTGCATCTAGTTGGATGCAATTCAATTCAAATACCTTGAGTTATGCATGACTGGTAGTTATTTTCTAATGGCATATAAAGAAGTTTACCTTTCCCAATTTCGCTATGTCACGATACAAAGATAAAGGCAAGGTAAAGATGATAGTGGTAACAAGAATTATGAAGCGACGATCAATAAGCACATTTTCTGATCCAACTGAAACAAAGAAGCAAGTAAGTTACTTCTCTAAGAGACTGACATGAAAAATAGATTACTTGCGCTCAGAAGTCTAACAACTATAAACTTCGATGCTAACCACGTTTCAAGATGAATAACAGTGAAATAAAGTCTAAGTATTAACAGGGATGCCACACAGAGCACATGCACAATCAGAATATTTCTGCAAATTTAACTAACAGTTCACCCTATATGCAAGTGTAACGCTATAATCGGATGATAACAGCAGGGTGGCAAAGTCCTTGCCTACAGCAAATGAGAACAAGACCAAATACAGCAGCCATGGATACAGAAATGAAGGAAAAAGAGCTGCTTACCTTCAGAAGGCCTCAGGTACACAAAAGCATCCAGCAAGAGACACCCTTATCTCCAATACCAGCCCTTAAATGAGGGCTGGGAAGGGGTGGATCCTGGCTCCACCCTTTCCAGTCACTCAGAGGCATTGCATGCACCTGAGCTGCCCTGGGTTGGCTCTATCTTCCCACCAGGTGCTCAATCACTGTTTCAAGCTATGACTAAGCATTTCCACTACAGCTATGCACGTATCAAACTCTGAAACTGTGGCATCTGTACGTAGAGATTACTACTAATCCCTTCCATCATAACTGGATCAATGTTGGCAGACTGCAAGTAAAACTAACATTTCTTTCTGGATTTACTGCTCAGGATTGTTTTTGACAGTACTGAGATTGATTGTTGTGCTGCAGAAGAGGAGCAAATTCTCAAAAAATGACTGTAAAATAAGTTCATTTGGGAGGAAGGTTCATACGAGAATCTTTCTTAGTCACCTGCTCACCACTTGAAAAACAGAGATTACCACATAAGGGCAAAAAAAAAAATGGTGTAACAACCCTTGCAATGAGTTTTTTTTTCCCCCCACAACTGGCGCTGTGGTTTTGTTTTGTTTTAATTTTTTTGTCCCCAAGACAACACCAACTCAACATGAAACATCTCGGGTTTAATCAGATTGCCGCAAACCACAATTTTGAACCTGCTTGCTACACAATTTTGACTGGAAATTGAGTAGCAATTGACAAGAGAAATGTACAGTTCAGATGTACAGTTCCCTGATCCTTTGGGAGATAATAATGCCTTTTCCCTTCTTCCTAGATAAGCCTTCTACCAGCCAGGTGAAAAGATGCGTATTCCTTCCATTAGAAAACATCCCACTGCATATGAATCACTAGATATTCACTGTCCTTATCAAGCTGAACAAAACATAACAGTTAAAACCATATCCCACACCTTCCTGGCTTTACCTACTTTAAATTATAGTCTTTCTAAGGAAATCAAACAGTTCATACAAACACTAATTTGCACTTCACTGCATACGTGCTCTTTTAATTTACCAGTGAAATATACCTGAACTTAGTTGGTTTTTTGCTGAAAGAGATAAGTGCCTACAAATTACTCCATCGATTCCGCTCTGAAAACTTACAATCACAGAAGGATAAAAAAGCGTGTGAATTAAGACCTCAAAATGTTTTTACACTACCTGTAGTAATTGGATAGATGAATACAATGGAAAGACATTACAACAGAGGTGTGATGACAGAAGGACCAACATGATAGAAAGGTGCTGTAAGGAAGGGGAAGAAGAGCGCTCACTCATATCAGAAGATTCCAGGTTTGCAGAGGAAAGCTTCACCAAGGAGGGATCTCCAGAAACAGATCCTTCCCCAGTGGCAGTCAGCCCTTAAATGAAGTCTGAGAGGTGCAGCCAGGCTCCACCCCTTCTGGTCACACACATGAATTGCCTTCACTTGTGCTCCCAAGGCTGACCGGGTCTTTTCCCCAGGCATTCAATCAGTGGATCAGATCATGACTTAACAGTTCTCATACACTATCCAAGTAGACCATCTGCAGTTACATGTGCAGTTTATGACCAACCATGTAGGCATGCTTAAATGTACATTAAATCCATTATACTGTATGCAAGTAATCCAGAATTATTCACTAAATGCAGTATTAGTATTTATATATTTATCACAGCAAATATAAAAAAAATATGACAAAATATGATCTTGTTATAATATCAGTGTGGAAGAATATTTGCTTAATATTTTATTAAATATTGTGGCCTTTCCACTAACACCAAGTCCAATGACAACCAAGGATTAGGATTTGCAATTTTGCAATTTTTAAAAAAATAATACTTGTACAAACAGGCTTCAAGTTCATAACTTGATTGACATTTAAGAATAATTCAGACACAAAGTAACAGATAGATTTCTACTTCAGTTTGCCACAGCCCTAAATAAGTATGCTACATTCCTACCTAAAAATTTCAAAATGGAAAAAGATTATAAAATGCATCTTACCTCCAGGAATTCTCAAGAACACTTTAGTTAAAGTGTCTCCAGTTATTATGTTGTAACTAATCATAGCTTAAAGAAAATTTAAAAAATGGTTAGTACAAATCAAATATAGACTATTAGATAAACCATTAAATAGATGTATTGTGTGGTGTTCATGGTGGCGTGCCACAATCCCCCCTGTACAAATTCTAGTTAACACTAACTTTTAAGATTCAGGCTGAAGACAAAAAAGACAAAAAAAAAAAAAAAAGCTAACAATTGCCTTTCTTTATTTCAAGCAGGTACAACCTAGAAAGAATCTAATCTGATAAGCAAGACCACTTTGCTATTATCATATAAACTTAATACAGATGGGAGATAAAAAAAAAAAAAAGGCTTTAAAATTGCTTCCTGCATTTCCAACTTCAATTCTTTGTCAGTTTCTATTCAAGCTTCTGTTTTACTTTAGTAATGTTTTTGTATTAACATAATAAATCAGTCCTGTAAACAAATGAACAGGGTTTCCTAGTTCATGTCAGAAGTTTGTGAAATATTTCAGCCCAAAGAAACGATGAAGATAACTAATATGGATTTCCATTACTTTCTCTCATGAATAAGAACTGTGATTGTAATGCATCCTGCACAGAAAGTGTGTGTGCATACACACACACACATATGAACATATACTAATGTGGATAACAATCTTAACTAACACGTAAACACTCACTGTTGTGAACTGATAACTTATTAACACTATGTATGTAAATAAATTCAAGCACGTTTTGTAACTATTTTCATGGTGAGGACTGAGGTCTTTAAAATTATTTCCCATATTTTCTGTGATGTAGTAATTACACTCTTAAGTCAACCATAATGGATCAGTATTTTCAGATTTAATTCACTATTTCAGTTTAAGGGATGAACCTTGATAAAATAATTAATAGGTACGTGCAACATTGTTGCCCGCAGTAACTCCAACCTGACTCCCTTCAATATCTCAGCTACTAAAATGTTTTCAGAATAATTATTCCTAAAGGACGAATTTAGCTCTGGGACTCTTCAGTCACCAAATTCAGTCTCTTAGTACCTCAAATCACTACCTTGTGCAGTCCTATGTGCGCTGCACTGTTATTCTAGAAGCCTCCTCTTTGCTATTCTCATAGCTACTTCTGTTGTTGATTTTTAAGCGTGTGAATTTTTGTGTTATCACACTTCAATTCGTTTTTATTATTCTGGTTCTCAGATTCAGTGAATTCTTCCTCAGTCATTCTTCAGCATTCTACAATTGTTTATTTATTACGAAAATAGGTGCATATAGTATACTTTTTAGAGTTCTTGAAATTTATCAAGTAAAAGAATAAGATAATGTGAAAAAAAACCTTACTATTTATAAACCTCAGATATTTATATTTTATGTCATCTTACCGATAAATGGATATAAAAACTGAAGAGTTGAAAGAATTAGATAACCTAAAAAACCATATGTTTTTCTGACCAGCTCTTGATAGGTGTTGGTACTGGAGAGATTTCCTCCTTTGATCAGTAATATAATAGAATAATCTGTTAAAATATAAAATTATTGTTAAAGACTAGCAATTAATTAACAAAATGCTAACAACTAGCAGTTAGTTACTACTTTCTCACTCCTTAAAAAAAAATCTGTAAAAATGAAAAACAGCAGCATTAGAAGGCTGGGGAGGAGAATGGTAAGGGAAGCCACAGTAAGAGAGCAGAAATCTCATTTTTGTAGGTAACCAATATGGCTAAAGGGAAAGAACCAAATATGTAAGATTCAATAAACAAGGGAAAGGATTACTAACTAGATGAAACATGTAATTATATTCAGGTACTATATTCAGAGTAAAACATGATCAAATGCCTGTGTCAAATAGTTTATCTTGAAAACCAGAGACTGAGCCACTCTTGTATGAAGAAGCAATGTGCTTTGACAGAGAGCTTATGTCATAGGTGGAATGCTCCAAGACAGAACCTCATCCTTTTATGAAAAACAGTATGAATGTGCTGTTCTTGCATGCTATGCTTTAGTATTTGTTTGAGTACCATGTAATTTTTCAGTCCGGATTAGTTATACCAAGGAATTTACTACCTTGGATAGATATCTTGACAAATAGGGCTAGACCTCGTTTATTCTTTCTCTGGCTTTCACTTAGCTTGTAATCTGTGCTGCAATAGTAACAGCTTCTTTCAGCATCAGTGTTTATTATCCTCTATAAAGGTGACTTCTTTTTGAAGGTAAATCCATGATTTATTTATTTTTTTTAATGGATCATAATCAAAATGTTCAAAATCATAGTTACTCTGGAAGGTTTTAATTCCGCAGTACACTTGAGTGATATATAACTCACTCAATGATCATTGTCTAAATTAGAGTAAAAACAGTAGACTAAAATAGGTGATTATAACACACAAATAAGATCTATTCTTTCAAATGTCATCTTGACCTAGTCTAAGAAATTAGGCTTCACCAAATAAAAGGTACACAAAAAGCAGCTTTATATGTTGTACAGAGTAATTCTCTACTTTTACTAATCAGCTCTGGAGATTAGTGAGGTGAAAATAATTCCCCATTTTTACTAAGTCATAAACACAATTGTTTAAGCTAACGTGATGTTCAAAATCATCTAAACTTTGCAAAACAAATTTTCACTTTATAACACAAACTGCTTTTTACAGTACCTGTGATATAGGCAACCCCAAACAGAAGCAGTACTCCTAAAGGAAAACCAGCTTCTTTCATTGAATAGGGCAGTCCTATAAAAAAAAAAACCAAGAGATTACAGAAGAACTTTTACAAATATTTATTTATGATGACCAAAATAAAGAAATACTTGGATTAAAAAATAAACTGCTTTCAGTCTCCCAAATTGGGCCAGAAAGAATTAATAACTTCAGAAAAGGCTAAGACAAAAGGCCACCTCTGTGTGAAAAGTAAGCACCTGTCTAACCAGTACTTTCTGGTCATTACAGAAAAAAAGGCTGTAGGGTATTTATTCAGACCTGATCTCAGCTGACAAAATTGGATTTTCATATAATAAGAGACTAAAAGTAGAAAAAAAATCCTTCAGCAAAAACAGCAAAAAATAAGAGGACAGCACTTTTCTCAACATTAGATAGTCATGTGTGCATAAACAAGGCTGAACATATGATAGTGAAAAGTACACCTACCTATAATACCTGATCCTATGATGGAATTGATAATGTTAAACCCAGCTGATGCCAGATCACCATTTCCTCCTTTATTCCTGGGCTTACTAACCAGGGCCGTATGGTCATCTATTTCTATCTGTTTCAGGAAGACAACAACAAGATTAAAAATAGGTGATAGCAGAGGTTTTACATATATTTTAAAAGGTTGATTCAAACTAAAAAAAAAAAAAAAAGAATTACTTTCATTGACACAGATTTGTAGAGGTATTTTGATAATTACATTTATTTTTTCCAGTGAGAAATCAAAGGGGTGCAAAGCATCTAATTCCTTCATAATCCCAAGCCATAATCTTCTATAATTAATTTTTCTCTGAAAAAATATAAGTAGAGGAACAAAAATCTATATAAACTCGGAGTTAGGCTGTTAAGGAGCTTTATAGTCATGTTCGAAAGGCAAAAATACTAATCAAGTATTTTGGAAAATACTTTTATTAATCTTACAGCTCAGTAAAAATAGCCCCCTGAATCAGGGGAATTAAATCAATTTCCAAAGTTACTTGTGAAGCATGTCAACACATTATGATGTTCTAATTCAAAGTTTTCTCTAGTATTTTCAATATTTCTGTGTCTTTCAGTAGTTCATCACGAAAAGTAAATGACACCATAGAATTGGGTAGCCCCAGAAGGTTTCCGAGGGAAGGCCTGGTATAAAGCAAAATTTAAGGTGCACGTTTGTAGCAGCTCCAGCAACTGAAGTAATTACCTTCAAAAAGCATCTCTGCATGAGCATGTAGTAGTCCTCTACCTAGATCAACACTTTATTGCCAAAGAACATTTTAGCTTTGCTCTTTATAATGCCAGTATTTTAAAAGAAATCATGTGATTAAAAAAGGAACATGCATTTAACAAAGAAAATGCCTTTTGATTTTTCTACAAAAGCAAAACATTGTACGCTTACCATGAAAATAAAACCATTATTTCATGGATGCAAGAACCTATTTAACATGTATAGCTTCTAGTACAAACTCAACAGCTACTTATTTAATTGAATACTTTAACCCTTAAGCAGTACTAACATTATAATAGTAATGCTGTCTCAGATTAAAGGCCAGCATTGTCTGGTACCTCATTTCTAGCAATAGCCAATGGAAGGTTCATTGGAAGATTACCTCGTCCTAACTTTCAACATCTTGCATACCTTGGTACACCTTAGCTTATTCTTGTTGTGCTAACTTGCTTACACAATTATTCCTTGAATGTGCCCTTTTAAGAAGCTCTGCATATTTTCTAGCCTCTACAATGTCCTGTGGCAAAAAGTTCCATATCTTAATTATGCATTGCATGAAAAAATAGGAATGCTTCTTTTTTGGCAAATCTGCCATTAAATATTCCTGATGATTTGTCCAACAAACCTGCATCACTACAGAGAAAACAACAATTGTTTCCTACTTATTCTCTCCATATCACACCTAGTTTTACAGGTGTGGTAGAAATACTAAGTCACTTCCTGAAACAGTGATTGAGCACCTGGTGGGAAGGCAGGGTCAACCCAGGTGCATTCAATGCTCCTCAGCAACCGGAAGGGGCAGCAGGCTCCACGCCTTCCCAGTCCTCATTTAAGAGTTGGTAGTGAAGGTAAGGGTACCTTGCTAGAGATCCCTACCTGCTTGGGGCCTCCTGAAGGTAAGTAGAGTTTCCTCTTTTGTTTTTGTGTCTGTGGCTACTGCATTTGGGCTTGTTCATGTTTGTTGTAGTATAGGATTATGCCACCTTGTTATTGCTAAACTTTCTATTATGTTTACAGCATTATAAAAGGTAGGATTCTTCCTCTGTAGAGTTTGTTCTAGAATTATGAGTAGTCTATGTTATTTCATCACTGATACATGCAGCAGGAGTATTGCTTGAACTTTAATAACTTCTATGTACAGCATAGCTCATAAAGAATTCTATTAAACTAACACAGCCTACTTCCCTGTTTTGAGTAATTACTAGAACAAGAACACAGTGCTTTCTGTACAGCTCAAAAGCTTTGTAGCCCTTAAAACTAACTCATAACAATAGGCTCTTGGAGTAGCTCTCAGGAACTGTGAGACCAGTTGTGTACCTCCACACAACTGGGCTTGCCCACAGTCATACTGATAGAATCAAAGAATCATGGAATTGTTAAGGGTGAAAAAGATCACTAAGACCATCTCATCTAACCTATCTACGCTGTGCCACTAACTGCATCCCTCAGTACCACATCTCTGTGGTTCCAGAACATCTCCAGGGACAGTGACTCCACCATCTTCCTAGGCAGCCTGTGCCAGAGCATTACAACTCTTCCAAAGAATAATTTTTTCCTTGGTGTAACTTAAGGTTCTCCTTTCATGCTACTGCTGTTGTATGGGATGACACCTTGCCACAACCTCCTTTCAGAGAGTTGTAGAGGTCAGTAAGGTCTGAGCCCCTTCTTGTCCTAATGGGACAATCCTAGCATACATTGGTTACGATAGACCCACCAGGACCCAAAGTACCTGTTCTAGCATCTAAGTGAGAGCCAACTTGGGCTGTGCCAAGCAGTCACGATTATGGTTATGTATATTTGGTTATATAGAAATATAACCTATTTCCTTAGGATATATATATATAGGCCCACCAGTTTACTTTTTTCTTATTCTGCTGGGTACCTACAGCTCAATTCTTTTTCACTGAGTGAAAGAGAAACTCAGATATCAAAAGCTACGGCTGCTGCCAGCCCCGCAAAGCCCGACGAGAGCCCAGTCCGCAGCAAAAAGCAACGCCCCTCGAGCTCCGCAGCCCCCTGTGAAAAGCCGCTGAGCGCCGCCGATCTCACCTGCGGAGCCCCGGCTGGTGGCTGCTCGGTCCCTCCGCGCTCCATGGCCGCGTGCCGCTCCCCTCGCGCATCCGAACCCCCGCGGATCCCAGAGGAGGAAGCAGAGAAGCGCGGGGCAGCTCTCGCGCTCCTCCCGGAGCAGCCTCCATGTGGGCGGCGCGGGCTCCTGTCCGGCGGGCGGAGGCACGGCAGCCGGCCGCCTCCCGCCTTTCCGCGCGCAGCCGGCTGCTCTCGCACTACAGCGCCCGCCTGCACCGGGGCCGTGCGCGTATGCGGAGCCGTTACTGCAGTCGTTGTTTTCTTCTCTCGGTTAGATTGAGCTGTTTGGAAAGAGGTTAAAATTCCCGTGCCGATGTTTGGAATCCTTAGTTACCTCAGTTATCTTCAGCTGAGAGCTCTCACTGAGAGGTACGTTGCAAACATATAGGAAAATGCACACAAAGAAAAGTGTGTCTTAAGCAAAACCATAAACTAGTGACAACAAAAAGTGATTGCAGACAGCCATTAATTTCATGGAGAACTGCTGTAGGCCAAACTTAAGGTCCATGCAGCTCCAAAACAACATTGAGAGCTTTCTCCAATGTCTGGAGGGAGAGATCCATGGAACTTGAACGCAAAATTTTTAAACAAGATTAAATTATTAAAGCAAAAAAAAAAAAAAATTATGAAATATGCAGTAAATGGCAGAAGAAAACAAAGCATGGTAAATTGCTTTACGTGTCTTAGCTCTTATATTTGTCAGTATTTTGCTAGGTTTGCAATGGTTAAAGGAGCCAGGATGCTGCGTCTCAGTAACTTTGTCCTTAAAGATCTATGATGCATGTGACTTAATATGAAGAGCAAAGTGCACATGAAGAGCATATATGATTGATACATTTGTTATGTAGCTTAAGCACATGAGCTTCAGCTCCTTCAAAAAGAAGTCTGTAATCAACTCCGTGACAAGTTGCAATCCGACATGTGTTGTGGTGTGACCAGTCAGGTGATGTTGAGTCAGCAGAGAAAACTTGAGAGGCCTCAAGTGCAAAGAAAGTTCCTGTGATTCAGTAGCAATGGTGGGTTTTTTCAATTTTCTTTAGAGTTCTGGAAAAAAGAAGGAATGAGCTGTTTGAAGGTAGAGTGTAATAAAACCTTATAAATATGGAGGGGTCGGAGAGGGAAACAGCAATCATGATAAGAAAGGGATTTTTGGTTTGTTTTTTTTTTAGTGGAGAGTATTTCTGGAAGTCTTTCTGAGCAGGACTCTTCCCATACAGAAGATGATGCAGAGACTGTGCCTCTGTCTGAATTATCATAGAGTGAATGGAAAGGATCAGCAATAATGATTTAAGATAATCAGATGTATTCATCTTGAAATTCTGAGTTAATTTGTATCCCAGGAACAGCAAGTGCTAAGCTTTTGCTTAACAGGGACAAAGTGATAGAAAAATGGCCAAGGTAACTTCAGAACTCTAGGAAATGATGCAGGAAACTACATACCCAATAGGCCTGTCATCTTCATTGAGCAGAATAGTAGAAACTGTAGTAAATAATAGCATACAATGCCTTTGAGCTGTGTTGGCAGAGTTCTGTGGAGCAGCCTGCACTGTTACTGCTGTTGTTTGATAATGCTACTGCTAAATTGCTGAATGCCAATAAGAATGATCATTCATATACACTAAATGTATCAAAGCAAACAGACATTAATAAACAGTGAACTTAGTACTGTTGTTGGTGCACTCCAAGGATGTGTTCCAGGTCATCTGTATCTAAGTTTTTTCTCATCTTTTATGTTTTCAAAGCTGGCATAGAAAAAGAAAGGCCATGTGATATGAATTGAGAAACATGAAAGAGTTCATTGGCTGTTATCTCTTGGTTTAAATGAATGACTAAATCAGAAGTAAAAGAGCCTCTTTTGTAAGGGTGATATAATCACATGACACCTTAATGTCAAATTCATTAATCTTTCCTGAAAAGGTCAGTAATCTTTTACTACTTAGTAGCATTGTTCTCTATGAGGCAAACATAGTGAGAAGACCTGCTGTTCTCAATACTGAATTAATTTAGCTGTAAGATACCTGATAGCATGCTACTGCAAGTTGCTATGGACTACTTTTAAAAAAGATTGCTGATAAGTGAGGTGTTGTAATGTGTTTAAGCACAATGGAATGAAAACTGTCCCTCTTAATTGACACCCCTGTGAGGACAGTCAAGATATACTAGGGAATGCAACCTCCTTGTCTTGCAGTTGTAAGCTGTCTTCTAGCCTGTTTGACTAGCCTAAACAGCAAACACCTGGTGTAAATCATGCTAGTAGGCCCCTTCAGTGCAGGCTAAATAAAGACATATGGGTACTTGACTACAGCCTTGGGTTATTAAGTAGGCAGTTTTTATCTTTGTTCTCCCTTGGAGTCTCTGGCTTTTAGTATTTGTTGTCTTCCCCTCATTCAGGATTTTGCAGATGTTTCTGTTTAAACCCATTTTTCTTCACATGCTCTTATATTACCACAACTTCTTAATGTTGGAGGTGTTTAGTTCTTAGGTGTTAGAGATTGCTGTTCCAGTGATGTTTAAAGGAATTGTAATATGCAATGTATATCATAGGTTGGTTACTGGTTGTGAAATAATGGATCAATAGGTGTTGCCATGAGATGCTGAACTCTGTGCTCTTCAGGCTTTTTATTTCAGTTACTTATCTGTTAAATAAACAAGGATAAGCATTTAATGAATGTACTTTTGATTTATGCTACTTTACACTGCCAGCCATGTAATTATTTTAATTGAAAGAAAGCTAGAGAGCTGTTCTAGTGTACATTAAACTTCAAATCCTGACTATAGGATTATGGACATAAAAACAACACTACTGTATTATTTTAGATGTAAGAATATTGTCATAACTATGACAAGTGGGAGACCTGGAGGGAGAAAAGTAAGGTGTGAGTGACTGAAAGCATGCCAGCCCCCAGCCAGCCTAGAGGCATTCAGTTTTCAGAAGAGTAGAAGGCAAGGATATGTTTTGCTAGCATGCATTTTTGTGTTTTTGTTAAATGTGTTAAGTTTCTTTGCTATGTGCACAGATGATTTATGCTGAGTACAACTGTATTATGGCTACCAGTTAGTTAGCTTAATTGCTCAGTTCCCTTTCTGAGCTAGTGGAAGTTCATGTTATGCAAGTGTTGGTATTCTGCTGGATGTTAGCGGTTCACTAATCTCATGAAGTGTAGTACTGCAGCTTTTATTATTGTATTTCTGCAGTGTTTTAGCAGATCCTGTATAGAAGTAAAATCTGTTGTTTTGAGTGATATAATTGGCTTTTATTTTCAAAGTATTGAAATTGGTGTCACTGTATTAATTTGTTACTAGCTCCTGCTGCTTTGGCCCTACCTTCCTGTGCTCTAATCCTTCAGTATCTACAGAACAAACACAAAGTGATGACATGAATTATTTGCTTTTCAGGGATTCTCTTGTGTTTTCTGAAATATATATTCAGTTCACTACCTATTTAATATAGGGTGATATATACTTTATGTACACTTAAATACTAGTGCCTTCAATATGACAAACTATGGCCTCTTTTGGGAAACTGAAGCTTACCTGGTATTTTTCTTCTAGATAAGAAACTTTTGCTAAACTATGTATAATCCATCTACTTATGTAAATTGAATACAGTTATTTTTTATTGATATACATTGATATTGCATTTTTAATGCACAATACTAATATTTGCTAATGTTTTTAATTCTTCTTTGCAGAAATAAGTAATATACTCATTGTAATATACAATCATAGAATCACAAAGTTGGAAATGACCTATTAGATCATCTAGTCCAACAATCTTCACATTACCACTGCTACCACAAGCTACTAAACCAGATCTCGTAGCTCCTTGTCCAGACGCCTCTTGAACACTGCCAGGGATGGCGACTCCACCACCTCCCTTGGCAGGCCATTCCAGTGCCTGACCACTTTCTGAGAGAAGAAGTTCTTCCTTAAGTCCAACCTAAACCTTGTCTGGTACAACTTGTGGCCATTTCCCCAGGTCCTGTTTGTTGCTTGGGAGAAGAGGCCAAACCCTTCTTCACCACAACCTCCCTTTAGGAAGTTGTAGAGTGCAATGCAGTCTCCCCTGAGCCTCCTGTTCTCCAGACTAAACAATCCCAGCTCCCTCAGCCTCTCCTCATGAGACTTGTGCTCCAAACCCCTCGCCAGTTTAGTTGCCCTTTTCTGGACATGCTCCAGGGCCTCAATGTCTTTCTTGTAGTGAGGGGGCCCAGAACTGAACACAGTACTCGAGGTGCGGCCTCACCAGTGCTGAGTACAGGGGGATGATCACCTCCCTGCTCCTGCTGGCAACAGTATTCCTAATGCAGGCCAGAATACCATTGGCCCTCTTGGCCACCTGGGCACACTGTCGGCTCATGTTCAGCTGAGTGTCAACCAACACCCCCAGGTCCCTTTCCTTTTCACAATCATCCAGCCACTTGTCCCCAGGCCTATAGCGCTACATGCATGGGATTTGTTGTGGCCAAAGTGCAGGAGCTGGCACTTGGCCTTGTTGAACCTCAGCCCAGTGATCCAGCTTATCTAGATCCCTCTGAAGGGCCTCCCTATCCTCAGGCAGATCAACACCACCTCCCACTTGGTGTCATCTGCAAACTTACTGAGGGCACACTCAATCCCCTCGTCTAGGTCATCAGTAAAGATATTAAACAAGATAGGCCCCAGTACCGACCCCTGGGGGACACCACTTGAAACAGGTTGCCAGCTGGACTTAGCTCCATTAACCACCACCCATTGGGCACGGCCCTCTAGCCAGTTTCTTACCCAAAGAAGTGTGTACCTGTCCAGGCCATGGGCAGCCAGTTTCGCAAGAAGAAGCCTGTGAGACCGTGTCAAAGGCTTTGCTGAAGTCTAGGTAGACTACATCAACAGCCTTTCCCTCATCTACCAGTCTGGTTGCCCAGTTGTAGAAGGAGATGAGGTTGGTCAAGCACAACTTGCCTTTCATGAACCTGTGCTGGCTGGGCCTGATCACCTGGATACCACACACATGCCATGCGATCTCACCTAAGATGACTTGCTCCATTACTTTCCCTGGTACTGAGGTCAAGCTGACAGGCCTATAGTTCCCTGGATCCTCCTTATGGCCCTTCTTGAAGATAGGAGTCACATCAGCAAGCTCCAATCCTCTGGGACCTCTCCAGTTAACCAGGAGCGCTGATGGATGGCCGAGAGTGGCTTGGCAGTCACCCCTGCCAGCTCCCTCAGCACCTGAGGGTGTAGGCCATCTGGTCCCATGGACTTGTGACAGTCCAGATGGAGTACATAGTAATATTGTACTATAGTAATATACTCATTGAACTCCTTTCTGAGCTGTGTCATAATAAGCTCATGCAGCAGGGATTTAAGAGCACAGCTTTTTCTTGGGACATGAAATTGTGTTATTGCTATTTGCTAGGCGTCTGCAAATTCTCTTTGAAAGACTATTGCTGAGAAGCAAAACCTCTGATATCAAAATGTCAGCAGTTAGTAACGACGTGCTTTATCCTTCAGGCACCAGGGGGCAATATTTGACTTCTTTTAGTTGGGTACTGCGAAGTGCTGGCGATCTTCAATAGGCTTGTATGATATCTGGTATGTGCTGAAATTTGTCAGGGATGTCTTTTACTTCAGTTACCACTTATACAGGCCCTAGAGGAAGAGGTGTATGTGTTTTTTTTTATAAGCACTATGACAATTGTAAATAAATGCTGAAAACAGCCCTTGAACTCAGAATCTGTGGGTTTTTGTGATACCCTCATGAGAATTTATCTAAGATAGAAAATATAAAATATAGTGATTCTGTTCCAGTTTTTTCTCAGTAATGACTAACATAACTTGACATAAAATGTTCATAAGGCTTAGTAACTTGGTGTACCTTACAGCTCTTTGTCCCGTTTTGAATCTTAACCATCTGCAATCTCATGTTTCTCTTTGTTTTTGTGCAGAGTAAGGAGATAAGGTGGTACAAATCTGATGAAGAAGGCTGGTGTTTATGTCAAACCATGTGAGTATCTACACTGTAAAACATTACAATTGCAACATAGATTATAGCTGATGATTACTGAGTTACTAAACATTTTGTTTGCTGTACTTTGGAAATATTAACTCCCCATAAGTTTTTCTTTGTTATTATTTTAAAGTCTGTCTTATGGACAGAATATGAATGTTGAAACTTTGACCACAATGAATGTAACAGTATAATCTTAAATGCCCTGTGATATTTTATGAGTATAGCATGAGAGTTCACCAGTTATATACATCAGAAAGATGTAATCATGTATCTTACTATGCTTCTTGTTGTTGCTTGTACATCTGATGGAATTTTTTGTACCCATAATGTCCCCTGTTAGGTTCTGCAGTAATGCAGATTTGGAGGACTTTAATCAGTGAAAAGATGGATGTGTTTTAAGATGGAGCAGGAGAGCAGTCAGT